GGGGGATGCTGCTTTTCTGGGTTTTCATTCTTTGCCCTGTTCCTTGTTCATTTTCTTCATTTTCATCCTTCGGTTCTGAAACCAGATTTTGACTTGTCTCTCACTCAGGTTGAGGAGTCTGGCCACTTCGTGTCTACGGTCCCTCGTCAGGTACATATTGAATAAAAACTCCTTCTCTTTTTCCAGGGTCTGGTATTTGGTGTAAGGGCATCGTTTTTTCCTGGAGGAACGGGCGTGAAGCCAGCTGGCGGCTGGGTTGGCTGAAAGAAAAGCAGCGAGATCAATACGATGCAGCTTGAGTGTTTCTCAGAAGGTTTTAATCATGCCATCAAATATTAAGATTATACATACGCATGTGCACGCCCGGGTGAAAAATGCTGCCTGCCATAGGAGTTGGCAGCAGAGGCCCTACGAAAATCATACGGGATCGTCAGGGCGAGCACAGGCTGCCCAGAGTGCCTGGGTGCACACGCGTGTCTCTGCACACACATGTTCCCGTGCACACCCGTGTCTGTGCGCACACGTATGTTTGGGTGCACACGTGCCACTCCAGAGCTCCCCCCACTTTTCCCCAGGTCCATCTGTGCCAGGTAAACACCCACATGCGCTTATAGATTTGCATAACGCCCATCTGCACGTTACGCACCCTATATACAAAGAAACCAATGCAAAAATTATGTATATATATATAAAAACCCCATATTTTTCAGATGTGTTTCCCCACGTGTCTACAGATTTACTCCTGTGGACACATCGCGCAGGAAAAGAGCAGAGAGAGGAGGTCTGGAGGAGCCTTTCATAAATCCTGCCTATTTTTTTTTTGCTATGTGGCAAGAAACGGTCTCGATGCGATAAACATCCTCCGAGGGCTGGATGGACTCTGCTGCCGGAGATCTGGACAGTGTTACCCAGAGACATGGACGTTTGCAGGGCTGCAAATGCAGCCAAAAATAAATAACAGGCTGCCCGTCACCCTCGCGTGTGGGAGAAGTTACGTGGGAATCTTTTGCGAAAAGGACATCTCAGGAATTAGCCTGATCGGGGGGAGGGGGGGGGGGGAAAAACAAATTTTGGGAGCAAAAAGAAACCACCCCCACAGACACCATAGTGGTGAAGGTCGCACCCAAAGGTGAAGTGGGTTTAGGGTAAATAATAGAGCGTTTACTAATCACATGCAAATATTAGCTGACCGTTGGGTAACTGCGAGGCGGGAAAGAGTAAAACGAAGGGGTATAGGCAGACCACGTATCTCTATTTTATTTCCTTTGCCTCCTCTGAAATTATGACTGAAGCCATAAACCTTTACACCAATTAAACGGACCGTTATAAAATATATACATACACACACGCGCGCGCCATCAGGACGTTTCCTCTACGTAAAATGAAATATATTGAATATTTTTAAAAAATAATCCGGTTAATCTTCCACTGTAAGTACTGCCTCTTACAAATTTGCACGGCTATTTCCTTAATGTAATTGACTTGATCTAATATGCAGAATTAAATATTAAAGAGGAAGAAAGCTGTTAATAATTGATACTGTTAATCCTGCTACCCATCCTTTAATGGCAATGGATGGCTCTGCTTCATAACGGATTTTTATTCGGCTGGGTTTTATTTTTTGGTCATATCTTGGATCGTTAAAATATGAGATATTTTAAACGCCAACGTTGCTTTATCTATTCACTGTACACAAATCCCTAAACAGGAAAGTGAGTGGGAAGAGGTCCTGGCACGTCTTTTCTTTAAAATCCAGCAAATAAATTAACAGATCTCTGTGCCATACACGGGGTGGAGATTCATTATTGTGAAATACTTTCAAAAATTGAAAGAGTCAGGGAAATTGGTGGGAGTACTTTCTGCAAAACAGCTCCGTCTTCCAGCCCTGGCAGGCTCTCAACATCAGCCCAAATTAAACTATTATTTAAAACAAAATATGCGTCGTAACCACATGCCAAAGAAACCACACAGCATCCTCTTAGCGCGGGTCCCTGCACTTACTTATAACTTAATAACATTTTCTTGGACAAGATTTTTATATATTCAATTTCAGGGACATTGAGCACAGAACCTGGATGTTTAATTCTCTCAAATCATTCACCTCACGGTTGCAGTTTGTTCTGGATCCCTGCCCAGTACAATAGAATAGGACTTTCTTTTTGTGTGTGTGTGAGTGTGTGTGTGCCTGTGTGTCTGTGTGCAAGTTAAATGATAGGAAAAGAAAAAAAAAAAAAAAAAAACAAAAAAAAAAAAAAAGTCACCGTAACATCCTGCACACGGAGGGGAGGAAATCATGAGGGGCGAGAATATACTGTATTTTTCATCGTATGGTTGCAATGGCAATCTCTGTTGCTGTTCCACGTTGCGGGGGGGTGGTGGTGGTGGTGGTGGTGGTGGAAATAGAAGTTAATTCAAGGGGAAAAAGAATGACTGTGTCAGTGCGTCCTGCACAGGCTCCGAGGAGTTATACCCTCGGCGGGGGCTGCTCCTCTGCCAGTTTGGAAAACTTCGGCTTTCGCTGCAAAATATTTGCCGTGGGGGTGAAGCCAAGTTTCCCCCCTTGCCTGCTGCTCGGGCTTTGGCTCCGGTTCACCTTCCAGATGGAAACCAGGTACCAACCGGATCGGCACGAGGTGAAGACACTGATTCTTTCTTACTCAAACGCCATTGCATTATTATTATTACTATCATCATTATTATTAATAATAATAGTATTATTAATAGCGTTATTGATAGTATTATTAAATCTTTTCAAGGCGGATGATTTTTTTTTTTTTGTTCTATATTTCAGGGGAAAAAAAGACAAGCCAGCTCCCTGAAAAAGCACATGCTGAAGTTTAACTGTTTCCCCAATCTGGCTACATTACAAATAAAAGCTAATTAAGTTGGAAGCACGCACACCCCCCTCCTTTTTTTTTTTTTTTTTTTTTTTTTTTTTTTTTATTTGGAAG